AGGGAGAGATAGAAACATCAATATGAGAGTCATTGGTAGGCTGCCTCCTACACACCCCCGACTGGGGATCTAGCCTGCAACCCAGGCATGTGCCCTGACCTGGAATCAAACTTTGATCTCCTGGATCCTAGGTTAACGCTCAACATGAGCCACACCAGCCTGGCCCCAAAAGGAATTTTAGGGCAGCGAAATTATTCTGTATACTATAATGGTGGAGACATGTCATTATACATTTGTCCAAACCCATAGAATATACAACAGCAAGAGTGAACCCTAAGTACACGATGGACTTTGGGTGATAATGATGTATCAAAGTAGGTTCATCAGTTGTAACAAATGTACCACTTTGGGATGTGGATAGTTGAGGAGGCTGTGAATGTGTTTGAGGGGTCAGGAAGTATATGGGAACTCTCTAGTTTCTGCTCAACTTTGCTATGAAACCAAAACTTCTCTAAGTAATAAAGTCTGTTAAGAAAAAACCCACAGCCCTAGCCAGTTTGGCTCAGTGGTTAGAGCGTTGGCCTGTGGACTGAAGAGTCCCAGGTTCAATTCTGGCCAAGGGCATGTACCTCAGTTATAGGCTCGATCCCTGGCCCTGGTCTGGGTAAGTATGGGAGGCAACCAATCGATGTTTCTCTCTCTCTCTCCCTTCCACTCTCTCTGAAAAGCAATGGAAAAAATATCCTCAGGTGAGGATTAAAAAAACTACCCACAAACAGAAAACTCCTCTTTCCTAACAGCCTGAACAGCAGAAGATACAGGTTACCTAGTACAGTTAGATTAGCTCCAAAAACCTCTTCATTAGGGGAGAGAGAGTGAGCTTTGAGAGAGAGCTTTCATTTCAATTCTGTAAATAAATCTATTCCTAACTTTGTCTCCCATGACATGATTGTGTAAAAGTAATTTATCCATCCATCCCAGGGTTTAGCACATTTTTTACCCTTAACATTAGCACAGCTTACACTTCATTTTTTCAAGATAGGTTTTGCATTGTTTTTCTCTACCTTGGTGGACTAAAATCTGTGTACATGCTCATGAAATCATTTCATTTATTGAATCAGAGCTTTTCCCCACCTACCTAGATCACATCCTAAACTTCCTGGCTTGTGGTTTCATTAAGTCTGTGATCCACAAAGCAATTGCCCAGCTAATTGGAAAATGCATTTAGTGAACTGGACATCCCCCTCATTACCTTCCTACTGGACCCAATTTTTATTAGGTACTGAGCTGACACAGCCCAGGGTAGGTGTCACTTTAAATTTTTGGACACCTTTTGATTAACCAAGTGATAGGGGCAAATCAGAGAGAAACTAAATAAACAAAATAAAGGAAACAGCCATCTTGAGTTTAATCATTTGCATTTCTTGTTTCCCTTGGTTATTTAAAGCCTCTCTACACCAGCGTCTTAATTGATTCCTCTTCTTTTCTGCCCACGGCTTCCTTAAAGGGTCTTTGATGTGTTAATTGGACAGGACCTCATCCCAAAGCCTGGGTCAACTCTTTGTCATTGTTTGGTATTTAATCCTGGAGAGTAATGTTCTGCTCTAGTATGTTGTTTATCACTTCCAGATTATAGGTGTAGCAAATATTTTCCTAATGAAATAATCACTAACTTGACATTCTGCTACTAGGATAATACAGCTAGGTTCTGTGGGGAATCTTCTAGTGTAACTACATGGTCCCAGTCCCACACTCCTATAATTTTTTAGCTCTATTTTAAAGTGTTCCCTTTAGGCATGTTCTCTCAAAAATGTTAGGGCTTTAGGTGCTCCTTGAAATGTTCAATCTCTTTCATCAGAGCAAAGTTTTGAAACCTGAGCATCCTATTTCTTTTTTCATGTTGAAACCCTGTAGGTGTCTTCTGGGCAGCTGCTATGTAGTTTTTCCACTCAGTTGTTTGGTGAATGAAAATATCTAGGAGACACTCGTTTCCAGAATCCCTTCTGGAAACCAGAAACTTTACAAGCTGACTTTGTACAACTTCTTTTGAAGTGAACTCGGGTGGCAGAATTGTGCAGGCTTAACAATTTTGAGGTGGCAGAAACACCTGCAGTGACAGATAATTATAGCTATTGCCATGGCTCTTGCTGTGCATTTCCTGTTTGCTAGACCCTTTTTAGGATGAATCATAATTGTTTTCATGATGACAACTACCTCTTTTCCTTGTCCTTAATTAAACTTGGTAATACTTGTGGCCCCTTAGTAAGCTTGATTCTTTCCTCACTACCCTATGTTCAGCCCTTTTAATCATGGCAGGAAAAAATTTTCCTTGTGGTAGACAGGTAATAATGGCACATAGCAGTCTAAAATATCTCCCTAGAAACTGTTTCAAAACAACTCTCTTCATGTTGTGGCACACTCATCCTTGCCTTGTCTTGTGAACCCAACTCCTTTCCATATATGAGTCAAGCCCACCCTTTAAGAGCCAGCTCAGGCACCCCCAGATCCTGCAGCAGTTGTGGGGTATGCCACACACTTCAGCATGGAATTGGATCAAAGGCTGTCTGAGTTCTATTTTCTTTTCTGCTCTTCCCCAACATTATCACACACTCAACTATGCACTGTAAATCTAGACAGTGCAGATACATAGTGTATGATCACTTGCCAGGTGTCCAGTTCTCGTTGATTACAGCCTGTCAAAATGTGTCAGGTTTTGAATTAAAGAGCAAGACTTAAGTGAGTTGAATTAAGTAATCTCTAATAGGAAGATCCAACTGTTTCATGATTCTCGGAATCTACTTTGGAAATTAATTTTTATGGAGGCCCTTTTATAAAACTGGGAAATTACACTGAGGAGGGAAGAAAAAGAACTGCCAAGGGGACACACTGGTTACAAATTTAGTCATTGATATAAAATATTGCCACTGAGTCATCAAGAATTAACCCCTACGGAGATTATATAGGAATTAATGATGCCACATTGTTAGCTAGTACCTTTATGGTTTTGTTCTTTACATTTAAATTTTTTATCCCTTTGCAGTTTATCCTGGTGGAATGTATCAATCCAACTTCATTTTTTTCCTAGATGTCTCTATCCAGTTGATTTCATGCTGTTCTGAGATAATACCTCTATCATATACTAAATTTGTGGATGTATTTGGATCTATTTCTGTACTTCCAATTCGTTTCCATTGGTCTATTCATGGACAGATACTACACTATTGGAATTTGGGGGTTATATGTTTTAATTTTTGGAAAAATTTCCCCCTTTACTCTTCTTTTGAAGAGTTTCCCTAGCTATGCCTATTTCTCCATATGAACTCTAGAATCAACTTACCTAGGTAGAAAAATAGATACCAAAAACTATTGGTATTCTTATTGGAATCATGTTAAATTTATATAACTTAGAAAAAGGGAAATTTTTATGTCAAGCATATACATATCCAAGAACATCCCAGATGTCTTCCATTTGTTCAAGTCTAGTTTTGTGTTTACCAGGAGTGTCTCATAGTTTAAAGGTTTGGGGAATTTTTAAAGTTTAAACCTAGGGTTTTTAGTTTAACTTTTTGCTATTATATTATTAAATCTGCTTAGTGGTGTTTGTGTGTATATACATATGTATCCATGATTTGTAAACTTGGAGTGGGGTAGGGTTTTCTACCTCTGATTCAAAACTCAGAAGTCATAAAAAAATCAATAAATTCAACTACCCCAGAATAAATTTTGCATGCTAAAGATACCATAAGCCAAGTGGAGAGAAAAATTATAAACTGAAAGGAAATATTTGCAACTCATATCACAAATAGCTCTTACAAGTAAATAAGAAACTCACTCACCCACAAGAAAGCAGGGGTTGGGGGACGAAGGATATGAATAAAGAGGTCTATGAAAAGATATGCTCAACCTCATTTATAAGTTAATAAAAATTAAAACTACACTGAGATACCATTTCTCATGTATTAGATTGGAAAACACATGGCTGATGAGACTATAAAGAACACACACTCATGCATTGCTGACAGAACTGGTCAGGAGGGAACTGGTAAAATGCATCATGCTACGTGCCATACAAAAAAATACTATGCAGCTGTAATAAAAAGAATGAAGATACTCTTCAATTAATGATATAGAACATTCAATTCCTGATATAGTGTTAAGAAAAAAAAGCTAGGCGCAGTATAGTATATAAAACATGTTACCATTTTTATATGAGCATAAAAATAAGGTTTCCCCCACTATCCAAAACTATTCTCATTTTTATGCTTTTAAGGAATTGCATCCCTATGAAACCTTTCTTAAGCTGAAATGGTGTAAAGCAAAGAAGCAGTTACCTTAGGACACCCATCTTGCTAACGGTTGCAAGATAAATCACACATGTTCAGAGTTCAAAGCTATGGTGGCTTAATGCTGACATGCTAAGTGTAGTTCCCAGGGAAGGAGCTAGGTGGGGCCACTCTTGCTGCTCTGGATGCATACTGCAAAACAAACATTGAACACAATTTTTGCTTTTTGTCTTTCTCATAAAAGCAAAAATCCTCTTCGGATTTCTTTTGGTTAATGAAAACAGGTGTTAATAAGACTTTTGGCCCTAGCTGGTTTGGCTCAATGGTTAGAGGTCAGCCTGAGGACTGAAGGGTCTCAGGTTCAATTCCGGATAAGGGCACCTACCTCGGTTGCAGGCTCCATCCCCTGCTCTGGTAGGGGCTCATGCAGGAGGCAACCAATCAATGTTTCTCTCTCTCTTTCTCTGAAAAGCAATGGGGAAAAAAGTATCCTGGGGTGAGGATTAAAAGAAAAAAAGACTTTTGTAAGAGAAGTGGCATAAAGCAAACTTTCAAAAAGCAGGGGATATCGGTATATATGTATTTGGATAAAGAAACAATAGAAGCATGTTTAAACTAATAAAAGTGGTCACTTGTAAGGGACTAAGTGGACAGAGAATGGGGTAGACAGGGATGGAGAGGAATAATTTTTCACTATAAACTTTTTATAGTTTTTTATTTTTAAAGCATGTGACTGCTACCTAATCAATAATTTAAAATAAAATGTATACATCAATGTGAAACTTGGGTCTCCATTTTCTTTTATTTTTTTAAAGTAATTTCTTTTTTTTACAATGTGTTATCACACACACACACACACACACATGCGTGCACATGCACGTGCACACACACACTTACACACACACAGGACTTGAGATGGACAGAGAAACAAGGATAGCCTCCAAACAAGTTACTTTTCACGAAGTCCAAAATAGATTACATTGACATTTATGTGCTTTTCATTCATTACACAATGTACAGACATGATCCATTTAATGATTTATGCTCCGCACATGGTTAAACCAATCAGGATTTTCTATGAAAGAGTACATGTAAAAGCTTTTAGTTTAGAAGCAAAGTACTGTTTTTCTGCAAAAACCAATCTCAGGCATACAATTTATGTTTACATATACTCCTTGAGAATACTACAGTAGCAGTGCATAAGTTCATTCTGTAAAAAGATCTGAAAAATGAATTTCAAGAGACTCTTAATGCATTGTGCTCTCAGATAAAAATCCTAAGTATGACAATAACAGTTAAAACTGCATATATATGTTAGAGATCAGAAGAGGCTATAAAGAAATGTAAATAGTTGTGCTTTGGGGACTTTTTCATAAAGTTGTTTTAATAATAAATATAAACTTAAAAAATGTCTCAGTGACTGATATAAAATAGACACAGATATCAAGGATTTTCTGTACTTGGCTTAGGGTTTAAAGGTGAAAAATCATCTCCACATAAGCCACCTGGCATTTGGTAATCCCAATCTGGACTAGTCACTTACAATCAGGCAAGGGGCTGGGGAGAAAAAAATAAAAGAGATTTTTCCTCCTATTAACATAAAGCATTATCTAGAGGTAAAGCCAAGGTGAACCAACTAAACACATGCTTATCTTCCTTTAGATTTCTTAGACCAAATAGAGACGTCACCCTACTTTTATGAGGTTTAAAATAACCCAACATGATTAGTGTCTGGACCAGGACCTATTCTGTAATTCAGAAGATGAATTAAATATGTCCTGTCCTCTGTGAGCCCTAGAATAAGCATGATTCCTCAGTACTTCATGTTTTAAAAAACTCTCCACACATTAACTGTAAAACTCTTATTTTAGAAACACCATGGCAACTGTTTATAATGATAGAGGCCAAGGTATAATTTACATGGTAACGCTGATGTTCGTAGCTAGGAAATAAATGTAATTTTATTTTTAGGCTAGTCAGTTTGCCATTTTAGGCCTTTAACTTTGAAGGACACATGAGCCTAACAAATTTAAACTGAATTAGAAAAAAGATGAGAAAATAACAAATGTTTTAATTAAAGTCTTTTGCACAATAGGTTTAGATATAAAAAGAATTTCTTCAAAGAATTCCCTAAGTGTCACTCAGAAGCATCCTGTTTTTTTTTAACATAATGTGCTGGAGTCCTTTGAATAAAATTATAAAGTAATTTAAAATATATATTATATATTTATAATCACTGTAAATCATTCAATAGTTTGTAGCATATTAATGGAGTGAAATAGAGATAAAAGGCAGTCCACATTCATATTTTCAAGATAAATTTACTTCAGAAGTCAATTGAATTCCTTGCTCATGTTCTAAGTATAGCCATTGTGATAAGACCTGAAAGAAAATGAAGAACAGTTAAAGACATGCATTTTACAAAATTTTCCATTCAGTAGGAAATCGTTTAGCCCTCCCTCAATGAACAAATAAAATACGGCACATAGGCAGGTACTGTACCAAGAGCTTGAAGTCCATTTGAATTCTGTTTATACAGAAGAAATCCAATTTATACCAAAGGGCAGTCACTGGATAGATTTAATTAAATCACTAATGTCTGAACAGAGCTAATTTTTTAACAATCAAATATACCTCCCACTTTATCCAGTCACATCAGCTATAATAATAGCAAATGTGCCATTTTAAAATGTCAGTAAAGCCAGTTGACTTCATCAACAAAAACTGTGTGGGCCTATTTACATCCCAGGTCCCTCAGGCCACAAAGAGACAAAAGCATAGTATTCCTGCTTGGCTTGTCTCTTTTGAAGAGATTCCATACATGAAACCATAAAAATTTAATAATATGCTCAGTCCTAAGTGAGAGGCAAAAAAAAAAAAGTGTGTGATGAAGCACAGAGAAAGAGCACAGTCACGTACGACTGGGGCAGTCAGAAAAACATAACCCAGAATGTAAAGCTGAAATAAGCCTAAAAGATGAACAGAAAAGATACAGAACAATGAGATGAACAGACTTTCAGGTGAGGGAAGGGCAAGGGCATGGAGATAAGACTGGGACTCTAGATGAGCTTTTTGGAGATCAATAAATAATCTAACCACTCTAATCAAGGATTTATGTAGGGCAACAGCTAGACAAGAGTAGCTCAGAAAGGTCTCAAACACAGTATGGAGAGTCTTACATGACAAACTACGGAATTATACTTCATTTTATGGACTATGGGGAAGCACTGGAGGTTTTTGAGTAGGGAATGGTGGTGGTGAAACCAAAACAGAATGGAAAGCAACCTGACTGCAATATAATAGATGTTTTTTTGGGGGAAAATAATGGGAGAAGACAGGAATAGGAAGGGAAGGGACACCATCAGAAGGTAGGGGGACAATTTAGAAAACAATTTTGAAATTAGAAAGACAGTGCACCAAGGAATACTGAGAGAATACTGAAAAGAGTTGGCATCTCAGAAGAGGTGAGAGACTATGAGGAAAGAGTTATTCATCACCAGAACCCTAATCCTTCACACATTAGGTAGGTAATGAATAAATGTTTAGTTGAACTAATTATAAAATTTCAAGTCAGAATGACTGAAAGAATGACTTCACAGGAAAAAAGGGAACTGGTTTAAAGAGAAAGGTTCACAATATTAAATAAGGCTGCATTGTTCATCTTTATCACTGTGTACACTTTGTCTAAGTGTTTCCCTAGGATCAACTCCTGGAAGTAGAAATGCTTCCAGGAATCATGAAATATATGCATTTTACACATCTTTTATACCATTGTAAGTCAGCAAAAAGAAAATAATTGAATAAATACAGCATTAGGTATTAGATAAATAGCTGAAAAGAACTAAATGTGAGCCAAAAAAATTAAATCTTAAAATGCACTCGACCTCAACATGTTTTTAAAGCAATCTTTTATCTATTTTTCTGGGGGGGAAAAATCGAACCAACACCACCACCATCACCCAATACACATACGACCATCACTGCCACTTCCAAGCCATACAAATTGCCTACACATATGCCCCAAATGAATCTTTAAAAACACTTACCTAAGATGTAAGCAGCCACTAATTTTTGATTCACACTTAAGTGGAGGTAGAGAGGCACCAGCGATTCCATATCCCCCAGTGTAGGAAGCATCAGAGCTGCAATGCACACCACTCCCAGGAAGACAGTTAGTAAACTAGGTCCTGAGGAGACTGTTCTGTTTTCTGTAAAAAGACAAAAATCCCTGAGCTTGCTTCGAAAAACAACTTAGGCAGCCCTGGCCAGTTTAGCTCAGTGGTGAGAGCCTCGGCCCATGCACTGAAGGGTTCCAGGTTCGAGTCCAGCCAAGGGCACATACCTCAGTTGCAGACTCGATCCCAGGCCCCTGGTTGGGGCGCGTGCAGAAGGCAACCAGTCAATGTGTCTCTCTCACATCAATGTTTCCCTCTCTCTCTTTCTCTCCCTTCCACTCTCTCTGAAAAGCAATGGAAAAAATATCCTCACGTGAGGATTAAAAAATAATAATAATAAAAACAACTTAGACAAAAGTTTGTTCACATATACTGTCCACCATTCACCAGGATTTTGGTTTTGTCTAACTTCTCTGTTTCCCCAGCATTCCCATTCGATGGGGACTTATCTGCTGAACTTATCTGGAAGCCCATAACTTCTCTGAGCCATCCCAAGATGGAATGTTGAAACGGCATTGTGAGGTAGTGAATTCCTACTGAAAGGTTACCATCCTTGCCCCACACTCTCCTCACCATAATCAGTAGAACGTGTTCAAGCATGTATTAACTATGTATGTTTATAAACTACATGCACAAATACTGTCCTAAATAAAAAACATACAAATAGAATTTTAAAATAGTGGGCTAAAGGTAGACATTGAAATTCTGATCTTTTCTACCTGTACCCTAATGGATTGCTTATGTATACTTCTTTCTGAAACACATTTCACTAAAGTTCCACTACCTTCTAGAAGTATCTTAGGTAGGTCTCCAGGCATCCTAATAACCACAGCATCCTGCTAGCAATCTCAAAAACATGAAGGTAGCAAAAAGGCACTACTTGAGTGTTTTAAAGCTGCCTATGAAAACTCTTGCCCTCTTCTATACACCCATTTAGAGCAAAGAAGTAAGAAAGCAGCAGAAACAATATTTGGCAAATATTATGCTAAGTGAAACAAACCAGTCACAGAAGGACAAATACTGCATGATTCCACTTAAATGAAGTGTTTAAAATAGTCAGACTCATAGAAGCAGAGAGTAGAATGGTGGTTGCTAGGGGCTGGAGGTGTTTGAGATGGGAGTTGCTAATCAACAGGCATAAAGTCTCAATTATGCAAGATGAATACGACTCGAGATCTGCTGTACAACATTGTGTCTATGGTCAACAATAGTGTATTGTACTGAAATATTTGTGAACAGAGTAGATCTCGTTAAGTGTTCTTACTACAATAAAATAAAATTTATAAAACATTTATTATTGGCCTTGCTATTCTACAGTTCTGGGTGTATGTGCACAATATTTATATCCATATTTTTAAGAAACCCATCAAGAGCATTTTCTGTTATATGACTTTTCCCACTACCCTTCCTTTCACTAAAAGGAATAGCCAACAGCAACATAATCTTTGTGTTTCATTAATAAAATAATGATGTTCATTTTATTATTAAATGCAACTTTTCTAAATTATTAATACTTTAGCTGTTGTGTAAAGTTTAATTGAGCATCGCCAAAACCAGGTAGGTGAAAACAAATTCAAATTTTATAGTGATCATTGTTTGAGGTGAAACAATAGTATTAATACCTAAAAACTTGCCTATGAACACAGACAATAGGATGGTGAAGGCCTGGGGTGGGGCAGGAACCTGGTGATAGGGACAAGAGGGGGAAAAGGGGGGGACATTTGACAGAAACAAACCTAAAAACAAGTCTTATTTTAGTTAATAAATGAAGTACCTTTACATTTATATTTTTTGCAAAGATATGTTTTCAAGAAAAACACTGATAACAATTACACTGCTCACTGCAAACCTACAATAAAGATAATTTCAAGGAATCTTTAGTACTTAGAGAAATTCTAAAAATATTTGCATAAATTCTTGAAATTTTTCAAAATGGAGATAGCTTTTTTTTTTAATCCTCACCTAAGGACATGACCTGAGGACACGCTTAGAGAAAGAGGAAAGGAGAGAGAGAGAGAAACATCGATCAGTTGCCTTCTGTACATGCCACAATTGGGGATCGAACCCACAACCCAAGTATGTGCCCTGACCTGGAATTAAACTGGCAACCTTTGGTGCACAGGACGATGCTCAACCAACTGAGCCACTCTGCCTGGGCAGCAAATAGCTCTTTTTTGATTGTTGTAAAAATTTTATAGAGATACAGAAATCAGAGAGATTCCTATACAATTGAATCTTCCTGGAAATAACACTATTCACAGCTTGGTATAGACCCTTATTTTATTATTTTATTTTTTTAATATATCTTTATTGATTTCAGAGAGAGGGAAGGAGAGGGAGAGAGAGAGACAGAAACATCAATGATGAGAGAGTCACTGATCGAGCCCATGACCTGGGCATGTGCCCTGACTGGGAATCGAACCCCGATCGCCTGGATACTAGGTCGACGCTCAACCGCTGAGCCACTCCTGGCTGGGCTAGACCCTTATTTTATTAATGCCCACATAAACATGTAAAATAATTTTTTACATAAGTGAGACTATAATATACTATAATATACTGTTATAATATTATAACAGACTATAATCATTAGTAACATAATTAAGACAAGCCCACTAAGATTCAGCTGCATCTTTTAAATAACCTGGGCTGTGGTATTATGTAAAAGTATGCTTTGTGGGTTTCTCTTAGTTAAATTTCTATTAAATGAATATACATATATATAATTATATTTATGTGCATAGACAAGTCCCAGAAAGTAACATGGAACATTTATATCAGCAGATTTGTTAAGTGTATGGGATTATAAGGGCTGTTTCCTTTTTAAAATTTATTGCTATATGTCTTTTATACAATAAACTTGAGAAAAACATCTCATTTTCACTGCCTTAAAATACATTTAAAAATCCGAATCTTTCATGAGTATAGCCTTTGACCATTTTCTAGCTAGCTCAAATAGCTTCACAACATTTATGTACTTATATCTAATAAACACTTCCCAAGCTAAAGACATGAAAAAATAATACCACTTCAAAATCTCTCAAAAAAAATCTCAATTTGTTTCAACATTTTAGTTCAGAGAAACTTAATGAAAAACCTTAGAATTCTATATACTGGAAACCACACATAATTAATTCACTACAGTCATGTGCCAAATAATGATGTGTTGGTCAACTACAGATAGCATATACAACTGTAGTCCCATAAGATTACAATGGAGCTGAAAAATTCTTATCACCTAGTGATGCTGTAGCCATCACAATGTCATAGCACAACATATTACTCATGTGTTTGTAGTGATGCTGTGTAAACAAACCTACTGAGTTACCTGTCATATAAAAGTACAGCACATATAATTATGTACAGTACATAATACTTGATAATAAATGATGTTATTGGCTTCTGTATTTACTATACTATATATACATTTTATCATTATTTTACAGTATACTCCTTCTACTTACAAAGTTTGCTGTAAAATAGTATGTCAGGTTATGCAGGCAATAGCAACCTCATAGGTCTTATGTTTTCCATGTCTCTTAATTGCATCATTTTCTCTTGTGCTTGATTTAATCTCATGTTGTTTTGTGCAGTAACACGCTGTACAGGTTTATAGCCTAGGAGCAATAGGCTAAACCATATGGCCTAGGTATGTAATAGGCTATACCATCTAGGTTTGTGTAAGTGTACTCTGTAATGTTTGAACAACAAAACATTTCTAATGACACATTTCTCAGAATGTATCCCAGTCATTAAGTGGCACATGACTGTATTAAAATAATAAAGTTAAAAATATCACTTTGTCAACACAGACTAAATCAGTCACCATTATACTCTATTAAAGAAGAAAACCTTACTCAATTTCATATTAGAAACATTAATATAACTACCCACAAACAGGACATGTTGGCCAAGACTGTATACGGAACTTTATAGTAGTATCGCCCTTGCTCTAGAGTGTCCATAGCAGTGGAAACCTTGTAAGACAAAGGAAGCCAACCCAACAGACCCTACCAAATAAGAAGTCCAGCCTTCCTAGTGCAGCCCATGCACACATTTCCCGTGTAACTATAGTCAGCCCTTCATATTCACGGGTTCCACAGCCACAGATTCAACAAACCATTGATTTGCAGTTGAAGGATGTGGAACCCATGGATACAAAGGGCCAAATAAGGCACTTGAG